CTTGTGTCTGGGGCTGGCTACTTGTGATTAGACATTATATGGAGGAACTAGTCAGAGGAGGGAACTGATTTATCCTCTTGTATGAGCCATTGGCCCCCTGTAGTTTTTTCATCTACCGAAGGGACCATGCACATATTTTAAGAAACAGGATCATGTGATCATTGGGGCTTCCAAGTTTAAAATGTGCCACATGGAACAACAGGATTTCCATGTTGAAGTCTTAGAATTCCTTGTTTCTCATGAGTCCTGTTTGCTTTTGTGTCCTCAAGTGATTAGGTGAGGCTTGTCCACACAATGATCTGCTTTACTTGCAGCCAACAGATTATAAATGTTCATGTCATCTACAAATACTTCCAGAGTAACAGACATTAGTGCTTGAACAAACAACTGGGAAGCGTAAATAGATCCCCATCATATACAATTAAATGTCAGATGGCTGGGTATAGTCGAGGTCTATAATTCCATCACCCCAGTTCAAGGGGAACCTGAGAAACATAGGCAGGAATAAAAAAAAAAGAAATCACAGGTATATGTTGGAAGTGTAAGCAAAACTATAATACACACTATTTGGTTTGCAACTCACAGATTGGACAAACTAAGTCTTGAGGGAGTTTTGTCACTTCAGGAAGGTCCTGAAGTGTCTCAGAGATGGACATTTCAGAGGTTTGAATCCGTCTTTCAGTGATTCTGAAGATCCCAGTGTGTTCATTACTTCACACTCATTGAGGCTGACACATAGGCAGCAACACACTCAGTTCTTTCCTGCTTTTGACTAATTCCTGCAGAGCTTCTGTCAGAGTAGAGGAAACGCTCTTGTTGCTACAGACATCTGAACCATGGAGTTGTGCTATAGGGTGTGGGCCAATTGAGTCAGAGAGGAAGGTAGCTGTCACAGATAACAAAAGCTCCCTGGGACAAAGATGAAAACAGATCAAGGATCTCTAGCGGAGATGAGCCTTATATGTACAGAGCTTGAGGGAAAAATATTATCTACAACTATGTGTCACAACAGCTCACACTATATCTAGGGGAAGAGTGGTCTAGAGCCATCTGAAGCATTTTAACCTAGCATGTCATATAAATAACTGTGGTATGAAGTCCAGGCTCCTTGCCTGAGTCCCCCAATCACAATGCAAATGCACAGTTCTGACCCCATTGCCTATGGGAGCTTTCCCAAGCCATGATGAGATCTCAGTAATTCTTAGGCTTCTGCAGTCCTTTACTACCCTTGCGTGAGTAGACATGACTTCCTGTAACTTGTTGCTAAGGTGTTCTGCATCACAAGGCAGGTAAGCAGTGCACAGTCAACAGTACTTTCCACATTTGCTTTATAAATGCCCAAAGAAATGCACAAAGGATATTAGATATATCACAAATCATCAAACCATTGTAAATGAGGGACCGAAGTTATATCTTTCTAACGAAGGTTGGTAAAAATCTTCCATCCAAACCTTCTTAAGAGCCATAGAATCATCAGCCCTCACTTTTATCTTATCTGGCATGAATTTTATTATCACTGTCTGCCATCAATACAATGAAAGAAACTGCATGTTTTTAGTTAGGTGCAAACTGACCATGAGCAAGCAGACACATAGGCAGATCCCACAGAAAGAGACCTGCTCTTTGGTCTAGAGACACCAAACAGGCTGCAGACACTTCAGAGACAAACATAAGAAAATGTCATTTTCCCTTCCTTTCCCCTTTCCCCTCCCTCTCTTTGTCCCTTCTTTCCCTGTCTCCCACACTTCTTTCTGCCTCAGTGCAGACGCAATCCAGGGCCTTCGCATGCACTAGGCAAGTACTCTACCACAGAGCTGCCTCCCTAGCTCCCCTTAAGAAATTTTAAAAGTGAAAACACACTAAACACATTTTTGAAACTAGTGTTGTTTTATAATTTTATTTCTGGATATATAATTACATTATATTATATAATGTAGGCTCAGAAGGATGGCTAGAGTCATTTGATATTAAGGGATATTTAGGTAAAAATCTATCTCCGGGGAGCCGTAACTCTTCTTGTTGAGAGCCCCTTGTTTTATTACAGGAATACATCCCTATCTGCCATCCTCACCCACTGGCCCCAAATCCTCCTGTACCTCTTCAAGGCCTAGCACAGTGGTTTTACATTTCTAAAATTTCCTTTATCTTCTTAAGTGTGTGAATACGCATCTGGAATATTGTGGTAGGATGGATAGCCAGCAACTGATCAAATAGTCCCTGGCTACATATTTACCTTACCTCAGTTTCTGGTCTCTCTCTCCTCTCCCTCCCTGCCCCTCTTATATACTCTTTCCTCCCTATTATCAAGCACCTGTATGAGGATAATGGAGATTATAAACAGAAGCTCACGGGCATCTGAATATCAATATATAAGTGCTCTATATTCAAATTCAGTAATATGTATTTTCCAGTTTTGTCATTTATATCGAACACATTATTAGTAATAGATTTTATCTATCAACTATCATCAATCTATCATCAATCTAGCTTCTATCCATCTTTTTATCTCAATATTGTCCATCAATTTTTCCATTTCACTCAGAGTAAACTCTAAGTGTTTGTCATTCTGATATTATCTCCACCTTAATTTTCTTCAGGTCATTATGCCTCAGCCTTAAAAGATTCTTTGCTTAGTTGGCTGCATCCAGTCTCAGGCCTCAGTATGTGCTGCTCCCTCTTCCTGTGAGCTCTTGCACTCCATGCCTCCCTCCTCACCTCAGTTCTCTGTTTAAAAAATATGGCAGTGAAAGTCTCCCTAATTTCCTACCAAACATAGCTTGCAACTTTTACACCAAACCTGGGCTCTCTTCTTCATGTTTGCTTTTTGTTCCCCAGAGAGTTTTCACAATGCATGTACTACTTTTTCTTTTATTGTTTATCATTCCTATGAGAATGAAGTGCTAAGGATTTTAGCTCTCTGGAAGATCCACAGAGCCCACAGACACAACTGTTGTACACAAGGCTCTCAGTAGGTATTTTTTGAATGAACCAAAGAATGTTAACAAGTATTGGTCTATATAGTAATTGCAGCTCCTTTTTGGCTGCTGAACTAATAATTTAGGTCATTTTTTTTATTTAGTGGTGTGTGTGTGTGTGTGTGTGTGTGTGTGTGTGTGTGTGTATACAAGCATGTGTGCCATTGCATGAGTGGGTAGGTCAGAGGTCAACTTTGGGAAGTCAGTTCTGTTCTGCAATCTCTGGGATCTGGAGAGCAAACTTAGCTTATCACAATCAGACTTGACAGCAAGCATTACCATCCACTGAGATATCTTGCTCATCTGGTTACAATCTTTGTAAAGTTTTTCATAACCTGTAAAGTAGATGTGCCCTTTTTACAACTCAGCAACCACCCAGCCAGATAATCAATAAGCAAACTATAGCTTTATAATCAGCTGCTAAATAAAAGAAATGGAAACTCTCTTATTTGATCATATTAAAAGTAGAAAACTGTCATTTAACATGGTGTTAAATGAACATTCACTAAAGCAGATATAAAACTCTAGAGTACTGCCAAGCATGCACAGAGAGGACAGCATCATCTTTCTCCACGATCCCCATGTATTAGCACATTTTCTGTTCTATAACAAAATATCTAAAGTTGGGTAGCCAATAAAGAAATGAAGTTTATTTGGTTCACATTCTGGTAGCTGGGTTGCCTATACAATATAGAATTGCCTCCTGGTAGAATCACAAGATGGAAAAGGAGAGAAAGACGAGTTAGCTGCCTGCAGAGTAGCAGAGCATCCTGTTAGGAGCACCACACTTTCTAACAACCCACCCTTGTGAAGCTTTTGTATGTGAGACTAGCAATAGTTTCTATTTTAATATAGTGCTCCCAGAGGCCTTCCTCCTTCCTGCCAGGTCTCAGCTCTCAGGGTGTCTCCTCTTAGCATCAATATTGCCTCACTGAGAATGGATTTTCCAGGGATTGCGGTGAAACCACTACCACCTCCTGTTTTTTTTTTTTTTTTTTTTCCTTACCTTTGCTTGGAGTTCATGGTTTGATACTTGGTGACCTTTCAGACTACATTGTAGATTGACAGGTGAATTAACATTTTAGTGATTATTTTGTGTGCCATTAGTACAGACTGCTCTATTTCTGTGAGTTGGGATGCCTTGACCATTTTCCTCTTTGCTGTAACTCTAGTCTCAAGGCCTAGTACCAAATAGGCTTTGGACTAAAATCTGTTGATCGAGTCATCATCCAAAGGCATGAAATGAAATGAATGACGTGATCCTGAAGAGGGCATCTGCAGAGCTACCAGGCTTACTTTTGGGAGACTTTCTAGGAAGAAGCCATTACCTTGTGTGGACTCCACCAATTTTGTTTTTAAATTTATTCCCAGAGATGTCATTTTACTAAATGATTTATATTTTCTAAATTTCTTTTTCTTCCTAATATAAATGGAAATGTGGTTTTTAATACATTATTTTTAATGCTGTTTTAGAGTTACAGGGCCTAAGTCACTGAAGCCATTCCTAAAAGCATACATCAGATCTGGTGTCAGGAAACAGCACTGCTAGGTTTGAATTTCTCTGAACAAATGAAGATCCCCAAATATTCTATCCAGTATCAGCTATTTGTACCCCAGCATCTCAGGTATTCACACATTGCTTTTCACCAACAACAAAATGTAGCTTCTCCTGGAGCTGGATGTAGGATGCTATCAGAGAAGGGTCCTGATTTGACCAATGACTCTTTGCCTATTTCCCTGGGAGGCGTGGCATAGAGCCATGACTTGGGTGAAAGATAGTTGTCACAGTGGGACCGTAGCAAGCACTGTGCAATGCAGCACTAGAAGTGTTTTCACTACTTAACCACCAATCCCTGAAGCTTGAAGAAGAGAGGGGAGCTTAAGCTTTCTAGTACTAATCCTTTGCTATCCAGGTCACCACAGCCAGAGAAGCACATCACGCCAAATGGCATACGTTAAGGTCATAACACTTTGGTGACGTTTCTAAAGTAATGATGTCATGGAAATTCTATGTTAATCTTTCAGATATTCTTTATGGTGCCTTCAGAAAGCAAATCTTGAAGAAAATGAGCCTCCATCCCTTGGTACTCCAGGAGGGTTGTGTTTCGTGGTATCTTAGTATCAGTAGTATTTCTCCAGGTAAGGTATCCTCTAAGGGTCTATCATAGGGTTCCAAATACCTGTGGTTGTAAAGGTTGGTCAGTCCCTCCCTGTGAGCTATGCCCAGATGAAAGACAGCATGGAGCAGAGTAGGGGGAGGGAGAGATGTTTTGGGGATAAACACTTGGAGTATGTGTGTTTGTTTGCATTGTTGCACGAGTGTGAGCATGCACATGGAGACGGGCATGTGAAGATCAGAAGACCACCTCCAGAGTCAGTCCTTGCCTTTCTCTTTGGTTGAAACAGGCTTTGCTGATCACAGCTGCATGTGTCAGGCTTCCCATATCTCAAAAACAAATAAAAACCAGGGAAATTACAGATGCATGCTACCACACCTAGTTCAGCCTGGATCTGGCGCATTCAAACTCAGATTTGTATGTGCACACAGCAAATGCTTCACCCACTGAGCCATCTCTCCAGCCTGTGATGAAACTTTTAATTGAAGAAATTTGAGCTTAAATCCAGCTTTGCTTTTATTAGAACCCATATTAGAGTTCTGTAAGACACATTCAGCGTGTTCTGTTTTATTGGACTGCCTGTACTAGGTCCGGGGAGCTATGGATTCAGCAGGCATGCCGTCATTCTGCGTTTATGGAATTTAAAGTCCGGTGAAGAAAGAATATGGAATAAACAAGAAAATGATGCACATTTTGTTAAGTGTCTGCATTTTTGAGTAGCACATGGAAAGGGTCACAAAGGAGTTGTTGGAGACCTATTCAGATGGAGTGAAGTCTTCTAAAGGATGAGAAAAGACACCAGTGTATGGACTGTAGGGAGTGGATAACTTTAAAAATTGGTAACACGATGCCAACTGCAAATTTCACAGGAATATTTGGACAAAGTAAACCTGTCATTCAGTGTATGTCCAAAAGCACAGATAACTCTAAACTATGTTGTCTTTGTTTATACATGTCATATATACATACATGCATGCACACATACCTGTGATAAGGTTTAATTGATAATATAGACATAGTAAGCAATTAATACCAACAATAAGATAATAATAATAATAGTATAATAGCATATCAGAATAAGTGTTACATGAATGCAGTCTCTTAGAATATCTTACTTGTACTTTTAGTTTTCCACTTAAAGGAAGCATTTTAAATTTGTCTCAAACATACCTGACTTAGCAGCCACAGCCACACTCTCCTTGTGTCTTAGACCATTATTAATTAAAATAGGTTTTTTTTCAACACAAGCACTGCTTTATCACACCAGCCAATGTTACTAAATGACCAGTGGGCAAGCAGCATACAGATGGGAATGCAGGGCATGTGAAGAGTCATGGCCAGAGTGGGATGTAGCAAGACAGGTGAGTTTTCATCATGTATCCCAGAAGAGTACACAATGCAAAACTTATGAATTGTTTATTTCTGTGATTTATTATGTTGGAACACAGTTGGATGTAGATAATTAAACCCTAGAACATGCAGAATAGACAATTGTGGTATCTAATATTTAGGTAGCAGGCAACCCCAGGGGATTATCTATTAAACCTGAATACTGGGCCCAATTGCTACCTCGGGGGCAAGAGTCCAGTGACTCTCTTGTCTTGCCCATATTGCCATAAAAACTGGAACCAGTGTAGCAAAAGGAAGAATTGCAATGGATTAACGAATGGAAGGATGTGAGTCATTAAAGACTGTTCAAACATGTGCAGGAATTCACTCGGAATTCAAGCCTCTCCCACCAGGCCTAAGACTCTCCCAGGAACAAACATTCACAGAAGCAAATCTGGATGTATTCTTTTATTTATTTATTTTTGTTTATTCTTACCAAAAGAACTTATTCTTTCAGTTTATTGTTGCTGAAAGAAATGCTTTTTTTCTTTTTAACTGTGAAGTCACATAGTACAGTTTTTAATTGTGAAAACCCAAGGACATTCATAGTCCATACCACCTAGATTTCAGCAGGGTCAAATGTAATTTGAATGTGAAGTGTGTTAGAACAGCACTTGGCATCCACATACAACCCCACATACACACACACACACACACACACACACACACACACACACACACACAGGTATTGTCATTGTTGTTATGTAGCGTGACACTTGTAGGGATGAGTCTATTGGGAACTATTTTGCAAGGGTGTTTCTGCACTTCACAATGAGTCAATCCAATACCGATCTCCATATACTCAGCAATAGCACAAAATCTACTTTCCATTTGCCCCTTATTTCTGTCCTGTTTTAACTGATTTTCTTTTCAGAATATTCGTTTTTTTCAATATGCTTGAAGAAATGGAAATGAGAGAATCATGGTGTCTCATTTCAGTACAAACGCTTGTACACTGTACTAAGTATGAGAGACATTAGAATGCATCGTGTGCAATGTGACAATGAATCAATTCTTTTTATGTAAAATATTAGAAACTCAGTTTCAATTTTAAGAATTAGACAAGTGACTCTCCCAAGCTGACATGTAGTTTTATTCCTTTTAAAGGAGTCAGCCCAGGTGAGTACCTTCATTTACATGGACAGACATGTACATTGTATTTAACATCACAGTTCACCTGTGTCTGGATAGATATGTGTCATCAGCTAAGAACCGATAAGCTCCAGCATTGGCCCATTTCTTTGATCCACATCTCAGATACTGGGCAGAATACAGATTATTCTGTCTACCATTAGTTCACCCCACTGAAATCTCAATTTTTGTGTGTTTGTATATATGTGTTCGTGTTTGTGGGTACCCAAGTGCGTATCACGTGAATGCACAGAGTTTGCTTGTATGAGGAAGCTAGAGGACAATCTCAGGTGTCCTTCCTCATGAGCTATCCACATCCTTTTTGGAGACAGGGTCTTTCACTTTCATTTGGGTAATGCAGGCTGGCCACTGAGTGGCCACTGAGCTCTGAGACCGCCTTCCTCTGCTTCCCCAGTGCTGATCGCATACCTGTGCTACCATGTCTAGTTTTTTCTTTTATGTCAGCTATGAGGGTTGAACCAGGCTTGTCATGCTTGCACAGCAAGTAGTTAACTTACTGAGCTCTTACCCCAACTCCATCTTAATATTTTACAATGTCAATTATCTACCTGACCAGATAGTATCACCCTGTTGTGTCATGTTCTAAATGTATGGTTGTTCCAGGAGACTACCATGTCCAAGAGACAGTCTTTGCTTTCTAAGAGTTATAGGTCACAGGGGAGACAGACTGATGATAATTCTGATTATGAGGAACACAAAATGGGGACAAAAGTGAGCAGAGGAGGGACACAGTGAATTTTGACTGAAAAAAACTACTAACGAAGTTTGGGTCCTTTAGTGACATCTGGTACTATTTCACAGACTAAGCAAGAGAATTATCTAATCCTGAGGCTGGCAGGTAAAGAAACTAATGCTCTAGGTTCACAAGGGGGTGAAGGACTCAGAGGGGTGAGTTTCTAAGGCGTGTTCCAAGGCGTTGAACTCAGATCTGCTTCCAAAGTGACCACCAGAGATTTATGAGAAGCTGCAGAAAGGGGAATCAGTTCATCTTGTTTTTTGCCTCCAGTTTTTAGTCAGAGAAAATTAAAATGTCCATGTTTCAGGCTGTGGAAGCAAGTCCAGGTCTCTCTTTCATTCACCACACACAGCCAAATACATGTGAGGAAACGCTGTCTCTCCACAGCCAGAAGTCACTCATCATGGCTTAGAAGAGGAGAAGCCTGGCAGAAGGAAGCAGATGTGAGAGCCACTTGATAGTTCTGTGGGCTGCAGAGAAGGCAGAGAAGTCTACCTCATGTGTGTGGTCACCAGCCTTTCCTTGACTTACTGTTTCTAAGGAGCAGCTTGATCCATGAACACTCTCTGGAAACTGTCTGGGAGTTTTCTCTGTGAGGATTACATGCGCATCTTGGAATGAATTGAAAACAAAAGGTTGGAATTTGGGGCTGTGCTGGGACGTGTCTGTAGAGGTGTGGGGTGAGTGGTATGTGGCACACTTCTTCCTCAGCCAAGGTAATGTGCAGAGCAGAGATGAAGTTTATGAGAAAGACAAGCCTCCCATGTTGCTTTCAATATTACTGAGGAATGTGGCTTTTAGGGAGCATGGCCTTTGAGTGTTGCCTGATTCTGTGTCTACTATTGTCACTTCAATAAAAGCAATTTGATTATAGCTGGACATAGCCTTGGGATTCCTCTAGCTGTTGAGTTGCTATGTTCTTGTTGGAAGGAAACATTTATTTTTCTATATCATCTGAAGTCCAAATAGCAGCCACAGGAGAATGTAATAAAATACATGGTTTGTGAGAAAGAGCACCAAGATGGCCCCTGTCAGGTTCCACCTCTTTCTTTCTGTGCCCTGGTGCGATACCTTCATGTGGGCTGAGTCCAGTACCCTGATTCTAAGCAGTAGCTATAGTGGAAATTGTGGGCTTTCATTCCAAACCCGTTGATTCCAGTCCTTCTGGTACTCTACATATTTACCCCTTGCATCTTCTCATTTTCTTGCTCTGTGGGGATGCCCAGATGATAAGAAAGTAAAGGCGATCTCTAGCCCATAGCCAATGTTCGGAGGAGGTCCTCAATCCAAATGCCTTCAAGGAACTGATTCTTGTCAACCACATTGCCTGGGAGAGACCTTAAAGCAGACTTCTTCAGCTGCACATTGATATGCTGTGGTTTGGGAGAGCTCCTGTGCCCAAAGACACAGAGGAGCAACCTGGAGTCCTGGTCTGTTGAGATGGAGATAAGAATGGTGTTTCATGCCACTCAGTTTGGGGGTATTTTGTTACACAGCTACAGGTCATTAATTAGATCATTGGTTATAGAAGCAGCATGGCCTTGGGTGGGTCATAAAGATGGAAAGTCAATCAGTATATGCGTTAATGTCTGTCTGAGTCACCAACCTAGAAAATGTCTGTGGGACAGTTGTCCTTCAGGCCCTGCTTGTATTAACTGCAACAACCTGGCAAGGGTGATGTTGATCGTGTTTTGAAAGACAGCAATGATATATACGTTACACACACACTCACACTCACATACACACACACACACACACACACACACACACACACACACACACGCAGCCCAGAACATATAGTTAAAACATGACAGATACTGAAACAGAAATCAAACATTCTATACTCTTAAGCTGGTCTCCTTTCTTAATGTGAGGGGGGTTATTAAGGGCGGAGGTAGGCTTGGAGAGGCTAGAAAGCAGGCTGCTTGAGGAACGTTTTGGTCACCTAGGTCACCTTCCTTTCTTGGAGATGCTGGCAGTTTGAAATGAAACCTAACACAGAGTAATTGACCAGCAGGAAAACACAGCCTTATTCCTTATAGTCTGTTTCTGTAACCAGTTAATATATATTTCACTTTCCAAGCAGGCTCTGACTGAGAGGTGAAAGTCCTTAGGCACTTCTGTGATGATTAGTATGGTATCCTATGGCTTTAGAATCTGGTGTTAAATTATTTTAATGAAGCTATTAAAAAAACCCAAAACGGAACAACAAAATATCATGAACAATGAATCCCTGCAACAAAAATTTATAAACAAAGGGAAATAATAGCATCCCCCACTCCACACATTGGTATTGATATTATATTGTAGATGCTAGACCTACATTGTCTACAAACAAGATCAGTCAAAATGGGCTTTGCTAGACAAAGACAAGATTAGAGTAGTGTAGATCCATGGCATGTGGTTTTTATTTGGTGGAGGCCAGCAGACTATGGGAAACATAAGGGAAAAACATACTGATGCACCTTAAGAAGGTAAGATTGCACATGCCTGTGATGTCCAGAGCTGAGCTGGCATTTGACCCTGAGTAGATACTGAGGTTGTCTGACCAACTCCAACATGAGACCCATGGTCTGTCTCAGGCCATCAGCTCACTAACTCTTGCAACAGCTTTCCCACGTCCATTCTTGGGAGGAGCCGAGAGGGTATCATTGCTCATGGGGCCTCTGCACAGCATAGCCTGTTAGCATCACAACAGTTTATTCCCACAATATTGAAGGGCGTTACAATGAACGCGACAG